ACAGCTCGATTTCGTCCGTACATCCGTACGACGGTTGTGGTAGGATAAACGGCTTTTATGAAGGCAATTAATATTATGAAAGTTAAATTTTTCTTAACAAAAGAATACGTGAAGATCAAATTTTTTAATGCGTTTTGCGCTGTTGTTTGTGTGTATATTTATATGTGTGTGTGTCCGCGACGACTTGTCCGTAACTTCCAACTCGGGAATCACAAAGCTAGGAAGCTGAAAATTTAGAGGCATATCCCCTACCCATGTGCGATCCCGCAAATTCAAATTCAGCCCTCCCTTGTCCGTGGATAACACACACAGCCCCGTAAAAGTTTTGGCGAGTAAGATTATTACCACGTGAACCACGGAAGCAAGAAGGCTGAAATTTTTGTGGGCACATCCCCTGTCCACGTTCGACCCAGGAAATTTAAATTCAGTCTCTCCCTACCCACAGGTAACACGAACGGCCCCATGAAAATTTTGGCGGGTAAGTTATTATCTCGGAAACCACGGAATCTAGGAAGCTGAAATCTTATGGCAATGACCCCTGCCCACGTACCACACTGCAAATTTAAATTCGGCGTTCCTGCACTTTCGGGTGTTACCTACGGTCCCGCGAAAGCTTCAGTGAGGAAGATTATTATTTCGGGGACCACGAAAGTTGGGAAAGTGAAATTTTAGGGCGATATCCCAACGTACAACCCCCACAAATTTGGATTCAGCCTTCAAGCACGTACGCCCCGTGGAAGTTTTGCCTCGTGAACCGCTAAAGCTAGAACGCCGAAATTTTAGCGTAGTAGCCTCTGCCCACGTACAACCCCACAAATTTTCAACGTCCCCGTGGGAATTTTGGCGAGAAAAATCAATATCTCGGGAGCCCAAAGAGTAAGGAGGCTGGAAAATCCAGGCGAATGTTTCCTGTCTACGCAGAGGCTTCACAAATTCAAATTCAGTTGCCACATTTGCCGAGATCTCACGTATGACCACGTAAAGGTTTTGTCTCAAAGATTATTCGAAAGCCAGAAAATTAGCAGACTGGAATATGGAAGGACATTCACCTTTCGAGGTTTCAAATTCAGCTTTCGTGTGTCGCTGCGCGAAATTTTTAACTATTTTTCACAGACCAAAATGCAAAACAATGAAAATCATTAGCACTCAAAATTTAAATTTGAACAAAATTGCACAAAACGCGTGATCGCATCGGCTATTCTGGTGAGCGCAGCTATTTACATTTTTTGCACTGTGATTGGGACGCTGTCATCACGATCAACCGGCATGCTTACGCGCCGGTCAAGTGACCACACAATGGTCATTGGCTCGCAGTGGAGCGCGTAGGCGGATATGGGAAAAACTCGGTTATCGAGGAAATACCGCACGCTTGCCGCGTGAAATCGAAACGTCCCTTTGGGAATAATCGAATAGAGGTGAAAAGTGAGAGCGTCCGGAGTCTCGCCCACTGGTAACACTGATCGCGAGCAGCTTCGAGGGAGCAAGCACCGAATGAGTAGTAATATAGTAATGGACGAGGGGGTGGGTCCACCGGGAGGCTTCCAGAAGGCAGAGGGAGGGAGAGAGGGAGCAACAATCACCACCGCCGAGAAGCGAGTCACTTCATGATGACTCATCCAACCAACAACACCGCCGTGCGTCACCACGGGGGCAGCAACCGAACTAGCAGCTAGGCAGCGACACCGAGCGAGCCATCGAACAGGGAGTACAGTGCGTACTACTACTGATGGGTGCGGGGGGACAGTCGCTGGAAAGTGGAAAAACAGTGGATGCAGCAAGCGGCAGGAAAAGTGAGATATGCAGTGAAATTAAATGAGGCTGAGATGAGGTGAGGTGCATTGAAATGAGGCTGAGGGAGTGAAGCGAGGCGAGGTGAAGTGAGATGGAATGAGGTGGAATGGGGTAAGTTGAGGTGAGGCGAAATGAGGTGCGGTTCTCATTGCTCCTGGACACCTAGCCACCATGAGAGCTATAAAACGATTTTTTGAAGAACAGCGATTGCGTCACAAGGCGATACGTACTATTCCACTGCTTAAGTCCACGCATAACCAGCCAGTGGGGCCCTTGGGGGTCACAAGTTCGGTGATCGCTCGCGGGGGCATTGAGATTGATCGTGGACGCCAGGCTGGTGAGGCCATTGGCTGGTTCTGCGCAATACCCGATTCTTCGGCTCAGTGACAGTAAAAACGCACAAAAATAATAGAACTATGTAGGCCTGTGTAGAAGACTTCCTTGCAAGCAATTACTAAAACTCGGATCGATTACGTAAAAAAATGCATTAAGCTCGGGGTTCGCGAGGGAGTTGCGAAAATCGTGCTTTCCCCTCAAAAAAAAGAGCAGAGCTGACTTTTAGTAACAAATACCATTTTCCAAGCCGAGAGAGACGCGCTTTTGAAAGTCGTGTCGTGTGAAACCGGCGCAAGAGCGTCAAGAGTGTTTGTTTGAAGACCCCAGCAACCAGCCGCAGAATGCTATAGTAGACATCTCGCTACCGAGCTAGCTGCCTAAGAACAGTTACTAAGCGACCGAACCAGCATCACCTCGACCAGCGAGAAGAAATGTCCATAGCAGCAGCAGGAGAAGCAGGCCGTGGAGATGCACATAAGAAGTGCAAACAAAGATGACGGCCAACACACACACACTCACCGAGCAAGCAGGCACCTTCGCCCCAGGAAGCCAAGGCGTACAAACTTTTCCAGCTTAGCAAGTAATAGAGCGGGATGCCGAAGCACGGGAAGACAAAGAAGATAGAGGAAAGGGGAGGGGGATTGGAAGAGGAGGAAAGGAGCTGCAAGAGCATTTGGTGTACCTGAAATGCGTAATTGAGTGATAAGATTATGAAAAACGTTGAAAAGTGCGGCAAATGTAAGTGCTTTGTGAGTATCGATAAGAGGAAACGGCAGCGGTAGCACCGCGAAATCAGCGATACAACGCACAGGCGCGAACAACGGACAGGTGCGCGAAAGAAGCACACTGCCAGAATAATCACTTCATGGCGACTAGACGATATACGCAAGATGCATTTAAACGAACATCATGAACGGTTACCAAAACTCGACTCAACTGGTTCCGGAATCGGTTTCGGACAAGTGATCGGCTCGGGCAGTCAAGTTGCGATCACTGAGGGTGGTGTTAGAGGAACGCGAGCGAACGAGGGAGGAGAGTCAGGCGATTCCACGGAAGGGGATCTTTCTCCTCGCCCTCCCCTTCGCCCTTCCTAGCGACACAGGCAACAGCAGCTGTTCATGAATAAAACTAAAGTAACTCTAAGTAGCAATGTTTACAAATCTATTCCTAGTTATGCGTTTTTACATATATGCAAACGCGAAAACGCATATTGCTGCGACCCCTGTGTGTGTGTGTGTCTGTCTCTCTGTCTGGACATTTCAACTCGGCACTCGAGCAGTTCCGGCGCCAAAATTTTGCTAGTGGGTTCTTCGGCCAAGGCCATCCCAGGAACGCGGTACCAACCCTTGCTCGCATCTGGGCCTCGCA